ACCTTCAGAGCCGTCATCGTGAAGTCTTCAGGTGGACGCCTGGAATGCCTCCACGTTACAGCGGCAATGTCAGTCGCAAGGCCCCGTTACGTGCATCGCGATCGATCTTGCCTATGCGACTGTTACCCTCACATCGCACATAGGGTGAGCTCGAAGGCATGTTCGGAAAGCATTATTGTTCAGTCAGGGTTATGCACGAAAGAGCAACATCATGGCATATGACGTGTGTGACACTGCCTGAGATGACTTGTGTTTGTGAGCATAGGTCGGTCGGCCGAAGCTTGGCTGTCAGCGGAACAGCTCGCTTTCACGGAAGTTTAGGTAAGAGAAAATTTAATTTATTAAATTTTATCTCAGCGGAAGGTGTGTCTCCCTTGTTTCTGGCTCAGAGGGTTCCTGCAGTGCTAGTGCACGGCAGTTAGCAGGTGTCTCGGCCGCATTCTGACCAGTGAGGTACGCATGCGCGTCGATTTGCAGGCGGTGGTGGCCGAGGGTATAGGCCTGCCTGAGAGTGCGAAGACAGCGATCATAGGACGAGATCCAGGTTGACTCTTGAGTTGCCAGGGCTGCCCTAGACAGGTAGCAGGCGCGACGGAACTGCTGGACACAGTCGCAGACGGTGCTGCACATCAGCGCCTGTATCGAAAGAGAATACTTGCAAACCTCTGAAAAGTTGCAGGGGAGAGATGAGAGTTTCGCACCATGAGCTCTGAACGGAGGATGTTGCTCAGTGGACCTGCCTTGTTCCGCGACTCCTGGCAGCGGAGGTCGCCCAGTCGCAGTGTATGATGGAGGCTCGCCAGGCCCTACAATCACAGGGTTTGCAGGGATTTGTATCCGGTTCTCATCAAAATGACCTCCAGAGTCAGAAAGCGCTTGCGCCCAGAAGAGTATGAGGCTCTTGTGGGCCCAGGCGACATAGCAAGCAGGTGTTGACCCGATGCAGCTGCCCAGCTTTACAACTTCACGCCACACTGGCTTATTGTTTCTGTTTGCCCGTAGGGCCAGTTGCGTATGTTCATGTGCGAGTGCTCATATGGTCTCGAATGCTTTGATATTCAGGGGCTGCAAGTGTCGTTTCAGGTGGGATGCTGCCGCGGAACCCTCCAGGGGCTGCGCAACCAGTACAGGGACAAAGCCCTAAATCCCTAAACCCTAAAACACCAAACATAAACCCTAAAACCCTAACCCTAAACCTAAAACCCTAAACCCCTAAACCCAAACCCTAAAACTAAACCCCTTGAGTGACAGGAGGCCTCTGCAACACCGTCGAAGAGTGCAAGGAGAACAGGATTGCGAGCGCTGCCATGATTGCGGCCTTGGCTCTGCCTTGCCATTGGAGGCCAATTAAAGGGACGGGTGTGTAGGGTTTTAGGGTTTAGGTTAGGGTTTAGGGTTTCCCCCTCGTCTTGCGGCCCATCTGAGCTCACGAGCCAAGGTTGATCCTTGGGAGGTGATGCCTTGCATATCTGCTCTTAGGCAGCACGTCACCCCAACGTGGGCGTGCGGCTGCCTAGTTTGGCAAGTTGCAATTAGAACTAGCGAACATTGTGTAACCTAGGTTCTCCTAGAAAGGGCGTAAGGGAATCCACTTAATTGTAAACGCTTGCGCGCGCCGCCTCGGCGCCGGGACGGCCCCAAAGAGGTTTTGGAGGAAGGGCAGAGGGGGGCGGTGGGGGGGTGTGGGGGGGGGTGGGTGGGGTGGGTGGGGGGGGGGTGGGGGGGGGGGGGGTGGGGGGGGGGTGGGGGGTGGGGGGGGGTGGGGGGGGGCGTCAGAAAATTTCGCATGGGGGAGGGTTGGGTTAAAAGGAAAAAAGCCCGATCCGGGTCTGCTCCCCGTGGACATGTCATTCCCTCAAGGTTGGGCTTCCAAACGTGGAGTTGGCCCATCTCCTTTTTGTTTCCTGACGAGCTGAAGCCTGAGGCGATCCGACGCAAAGCAGACGACATTCGCAACTCTCAGTGGTACGATGAGTTTTGGAAGCAGATGAGAAGCCAGATACAAGAATTCAAGCGCCAAGGTGCGACAGGACCTCATGTGGGATTTGGGTAGACGGAAGGGCGTAGGTTGCAGGAAGCGATGAGCCATCCTTTTTCCACAGTTGCCAGGAGGTCTCATCCTGGGCATACATTGCAAGGCCAAAGAAGACAAGGAACTCTGCTACCAGGTCTGGCCGGCTGTGTCGAAAGAGCTGCCAGGATCTGAGCTTTAGGGGTTTAGGGTTTATAAGGTTTAGGGATTAGGGTTGCATCCTGAATCGTTCTCCTAGGGCACGCTGGAAGCCGGCTGGCATCGCCTGGCAGCAGGTCGAGCCTGGTGGGCTCCGCAGATCTGGGCTGGGATGTTCGGCAGAATTATGCTCAATTAATATACTATACAGTGTATATATATATATGTATATATATATATAGATGTTATAAGTGAGAATGGCAGCTTTCTGATTCCAGTTGCTCTTGAGGCGAGCAGCTGCCTCTTGTCCAAAAGGGCCAATTCATCATGATCGTTTCGGCACGTGCAGACGACCAAGAAGCTGAAGAAGCCCTTGCGGCTCTGCGGGATCAGCGCGGCCTTAAAGCAACGTCGCCGCACTGGGTTGGTGCTTGCTTGTCTCTTCCGTTTCGTTACAAGCAGACAACAATGGCAAAAGGAGTTCCTTCACCACAGGCACAGACGCACATACGCTCAGGTCCACCAATTCATTCTAATTACAAACGGTTCATGGATGGAAAGTTTCAGGCTGAGGCAGGGCACAGCAAAGGTCTGCCGCTGTTCCCCGCCCATCATGCAGATGGCAGGCGCGCCTTTTCTGGGATGCACGGAGTTGAGGCTTCAAAGTAGCTTGGGAATTCATCACCTACTTGTACCGGTAGCATCAAGAAGTTGCCGTGCGCGTCTCCCCGAGATGGCTCGTCGTCACGCCCGGCGCTGTTCTCCGCACGCTTCGACGGGAGCGAGGTGATGCGCAAGTTCCGCAGGGTTTTCGACATCTTGAAGTTCAACAACTATCAAGTCATGATGGTTAGCGCCAAAGCTGGAGACGACTTTGGCACACTCATCGTCAAGTACTTGAATCGACTCCGTCAAGAAGATGGGATACTGCTGGCTGTGTGCTCCGAGAGCTATGGCGAGATGACCAGTTCTGCTTATTCAACATATGATGAGCTCAAGTACGCGGTTGACAACAAAGTCGAGGCTGTTCCGCTCAAGGTGTGCCAAGCATACCCCCCAACTCCGCCCAGTGGCCCCTCCCACAAGTTCGACAAGCAAGGCCAAGCCCTAGGCTACATCAGCAAGAAATTCAGTCCCTCGGTGGCCTTCCTGAACTGCGTTGACAAGACGGACAACGAGATCGCGAGGATGATCGCGGAGAAGCTCCTGGAAGCAACCGTCTCTGCAGGAGCACGTGACATGATACCCCTATGAATCCCCCATTGTAGCTCAGGCTGCCTTTGGGCCTGGCCCCCCTCTCTTGTTTTGGAGAAGCGAACCCAGGGGGGTGGTTAACAAATTCTGCCTTAGCCAGTGCTCTTTGTGTAGTTACGTAGCAAGAGGCCTTGCACCGCTTGCGCAGGGCAATATATAACCAAGCTAGCTGCGCTGGTCGCTAGTTTCCTTCGAAGCCGGTGCGCTGCAGCTCCACTGGCCGATGCTTTTGCGTGCTTTATGCACTGTGGGTCATCTCTCGTGGGAAAGCTGGGCTGCAGGACCAGAGACGACTGGTGGCGCGCCACCAGCGAAAGCGCTTGCCGCAGACTGAGTTGAAGTTGACAGGGGTTTTGATTCAAGCCGATGATGCCAGCCTAGAGAGAGGTCAGTGGACCGTTCTGCGCATTCAAACTACTTTAGCGTGCCATCTGACCGGCACTTTCAACCGGCAAGGTGTCTCGGGTCGACCAGCAGCCCAGTGAGCCCAGTGAGGAGCCATGCCATAAACTTGAATTTGAAGCATTTCCTCTGCTTCTGCTGGTGTCAGAGTCGACCGGACAAGGATGGCAAAGCGGCGGCTGCATTGGATGGGTCCCAGACGGACTTTGTGGAACAAGAGAAGCTGCACGATCTGACGGAGGTCACACTCGACTTCCAAGGGCAGCCTGGGACGCTGCACGACCTGGAGGAGGCTCCATTGTGATTGCGAAGGGGGAAGGGGGAGGGTGGGGGCAGGCAGTGTAGCAGATGGATGCATCATGACCCATCAAGGGATGCACAATTCTGAAATCACGAGGAGCCTGTCGAGGAGATGCCCAAGCCAGACGTCATCGATGCAGCTTGCGTTTCTCACCCGTTTATTTGCTGCTGACTTTGCAGGGCATGCCTCAAAGCGTAGGTATGCCGCGCAAGGCACTTGTGCTTCCCCTGCTTTTCACATGCCTTTGAGCAGGCGCAAACAGTGCTCCCCGGGTTGTGGGGTGTTGCCACCACAACTCCCTGGACCTTGTGGCCTGCCGATCAGAAAGCGCCTTCCATTGCTTGGAGCTGTTTGCTGATTTGCGGCTTGAAATTCAGCGAGAAGTTAGTTGGGGTCTGCCATTGCCATGCGAGGGATGGGTTGGCAGACAAAATTACCAGAGAAGCCGAAAACGTCGCAGCCGAGCCCGGGCAAAGCCGATAATGCCCAACCCGAAGTGACTTCTGTATGGAGTTAGGGACAAAGCCCCCGAAGCGAACCTCTTCTGCTCTCATGGCCATGCAAAGTTTCACAAGCTCGCAGCTTCAGGTATGCAGGCTGAAGGTGACTATGCTGAGGGTGCGCCCAAGTTTGTTGCTGGCCTTGGACTTTGCGTCTCAATTCTAACCAAGACAAAGACAAGCTCCACCTGTCAAGGATCAGCCCCTTTCCATGCCTGTGGATTCACGCCCTCACCCCTTGCTGTACCCTGCTGGCATGACATCCAACACTGCCAACACTGAACTATCCTGACATACGGGTCGCTGGGTCACCAGCCCTATTCTTTCCTGTTCCACACTCGAAACAAGCGCATGGCCGGCAGCCCCGACAGCCATGCAGCCTGCTGCTGAGGGCGGATCATCCGACCGTGTCACAGTCGACCTGGATCCAGATGTGCGGTCGGGACCGGGCAAAGTCCGACGCGACAGTGAGCCTGTATCTGAAGACGAGCGGTCTGGCCGTGCGGACGTGGTTCTGAGTCGCATCATAACTGCCCTCGAGCGATTAGAAGTCGAGGAGAACGCGCCTCGGAGCTTGAAGCGCAAACGCTATGCTGCTGCAATGTTGCTCCTGAGCGTACCTGTGCTGAGCAGCATCGTAGCTTTCGGGGTGCAGCTGTCTGTGGCGTTTGGCCGCAGCTTCTCCAAGCTGGGAAGCCTTTTCGTTGCCAGCAGCTTGCTCGTGACATTCCTGACCACACATTTGGTTCTTCGCTATGGCAGTGCTGAGTTCAAGAAGTTAGCGTCGCGGCGGTACCTCATATGCATCGTGAACGGCATGGTCGTAGCGTCAAAGCATACGCTTCAGGCCATGGCTGTTTCCAGGATGAACTCCTCCATCTTTTTCATCGTCATGCGCTTTGCGCTGCTTTGGATGGCCATGTTTGACGCGCTGTATTCCCTCAAGCTGCCTGGACTCAAGGCCATTGGCATCCTCGCCGTGATATTGTTTTCTGTCAGCATCACGTCTGACTCATTAACCTCAGACGAAGAAGGCATGGAGGTCACCATGGAAGGAGTCTTCTTGGCATTGGGCTGTGCTTTGGCAGACGCAGGCTCTGACATTGCCTCTGATGTGATTGGGTCAAGCTTCACCACTGGGCTGCAGGGAACGGCTCGCAACTGTGAGCTAAACCGGTATCTGGTGATGCAACAAGCTTGCAGCATACCTTGCTACATTCTGGCTGCTGCAGCCATCGGAGAGCTCCCGATCCTTTTCCGGGGCTATGACAGCACTGTATTCTTTCTGGCGTCACTGCCGCTGGTTCTAAAGATTCCCGTCTTTCAGTTCGCAATCTTCACAGCTGGTGCTGTGAAAACGAACATGGCCGTGTCTTTTGAGATGGGAGTGTCTTACGTCTTCGAGGTCTTTTTCGGCTTGGCAAAGTTCAACCTGAGCAAGTTTTTCGCAATGATGGCCTTTGCCTGCGTCCTCCTGATGGACTCGCTCCATGCTTCACAGTTGGAAAACGCGGCAGCCGAGCAGCACAGGACAACCTTGCAAAAGGTCCGACGAGAAATTGAGAGAACTTGTGCCTCAACCTCAGTGGTCCGCGACGGTGGCGATGGGAATGCGAAGTGAACCTCAACTTCCCTTGTATTTATGATGTAGTCATCACAATGCGTCGTGTGTGGTTTCAATGCCAGACCAAAGGGGGGCCCAGCCAAGACAAGGCGCTGGCAGCCAAGGTATACGAAACGCCACAGAAACACCGAGACACAAGAATAAGAGTGCTTGCCGGTTTTGCATCCGCAGGCGTGATCCGAATAAAAAAAACAAGGCTTTCTCTGGGACCTACCCTTGCCTGATGCACATGTAAGGACTTTACATGTCTGGTTGGGTGCAGTCGCAGGGAGCGCATGAGCCTTCCGAGGTAGACCAAGGCTTGCAACATTGAGCTGCAAAACTCGGCAGGACCACAGAGGGCTGAGCAGGGAGGTTCGAGATACCCGGTTTAGGGTTTAGGGTTTAGGATTTAGGGATTGCCAACACATGGAACTTGAGCCACATAGGATGCGAATGGAACCTACCGCAACGGATCAAAAACAGCCCATGCCGTTCATTAACGTGAGTTCCACAAGTTGCTGCCTGCTGCTTTCCCCCCTGGAACACACCACATGTGTGTAACCATATATGTATATGCATATCTATATATATATGTCTATATATGCATACATGCTTATGCACATGCATGCATCTGTAGTTGTATACATACATACGAAAGCGGTTGGAAGCTGCACCCCTGCATGTTTGTTGAATTCTGCCGACGAGCCTCAAACAATCCCAAAGTGTACTGTAGCCAGTCATAGACCTCGCAATCAGCCATAATTAAGAACATGTCTGAGGGTCTCTGAATGACCAGTGCTTTGTTCACAGTTCGGTTTTGGAGGCTTTCGGCTAAACGGCCTTGTCACGAAGCATGGCGTCCTTGGCGCTGCTCGGGCTGCAGCTGTTGATTCTGGCAGCGTGCGGCTCTGGCACGAGAGAGATCTGTGGAGGATCTTTGTACATCTTCTGGGACCCACACTGCGGCCATGAAGAAGACACCCCTCCGATGTGGATCCTCTCCCCCCTGAAGCCAGATCCCACCCGGCGCCGGAATCTCCAGGACGAGGAAGGCTGCCATGCTTGGGCCACCTGGGCAACTGAGGAGGAGGCGATCGCTGGGGTTCGCGGCTGGAGTAGCTGGGACCCTTGCTGTGCGTCTCGGGGAGGCAAAGAGTTCATCACAAGCGTGGTGAGCTTCGAGAACGAGAGCATTAAGGTTTCTGGACTCTGCGACGTTGAGGGCGGCATGAGGCTTGGAAATCGAGTTTACCAACTTGAGGGCGTCACGATGAGCGGTCGGAATTGGTACTCCAGCGAATGCTCCAACTATGAGGACTGCTACTACGAAGTGCAAGTCCCAAGTGACTTCGAGGCTGTGGAGGAGGGCGAAGACCCTGTGGAGAATCTCGACAAGCAAGCCGACGCAGATGGTTTGGACGGCTTGGACGTCAAAGCACATTTAGTTTCAGGTGCCGCCCTCTTGATGTTTGGCCTGCTGCAAATCCTAGGTGCCTGTTTGCACCTTCAGAAGCGGAAGAGAAGCGTGCCGCTGCAGCCTGGCGATGAAGAACTGCTGTCACCTCGCCTGAGCGGAGTTGGCCGCGATTTGCACCAATCAGTGCCGCAAAGTGCTTGGTGTGTGACGCTCGAAGACCTTTGTCAGTTTCGCCGTCTCGTGATGCATGCAGTTACAACAGGAAAGATCCATCCGCATGATCGTGACATGTTTGACACCCTGGATTTGACCATCGGACCCTCCGTGTACACAGTCAACGATCAGTTCATCAAGCCTTTGACGGCTCTTGCTGGCAACATGAGCTGGGCACTTTTCAGAAATCCTGCTGGCGTGAGCTGCGATGTCTTCGTGACACACTGCTGGGCAGAGGGAATATACGAATTCATCGACAGAGTGGAGCACTCTTGGCCTCGAGGCGCACGTGCCGCATATGTGTGCTTCTTGTCGAATCCACAAAATCTGGACATCGCGGACCTGATCGCAAGCCCTCGTGAGTCACCTTTTGCCGTAGCGCTGCAGACAGCGCCTACGATGTTGGTTCTGCCAAACCACAGTCTCAGCATTTATACTAGGCTCTGGTGTTGCTATGAGGCATTTTTGGCATATTCCTGGCGGAAGACAATTCGGGTGGCAAAGCGGCATCATCACGGGCTTTGGTGGTGCATGCTGTGGCTGGGAGGCTTGCATCATGCTTGCACTATTGAAGCTTGTTCCTGGACCCTCTGTACGTCTGTACAGCCCTCCCCTGTCCCCGGGACTTTGGAGCTGGGGGCCAGGAAATTGAGACGATGTCCAGAAACATGTCGGTAAACAAGGGGATTGCAGTAACTTATTAACTTAACCCCTCAATAAGTCCCAGGATGTTTGCGCTGGCAAGCTTGCCTTTCTAGAGGTAACATTACCACAGGGATCATTGTGATTCGAGCTGAGTGATGAGACACACGCTTGATGGTTTCCAGACAGCCTCAGGTACATCGCAGCTGCTGGGGCGATATGCTTGTTGCCAATCGCGCTCGACATCCCAGCTGTAAGACGACTCAATCCGATGCTTTCAGTTGCAGCAGGAGCCTCGTCTGGTTTCAGTACTGACCTGTGCTGTAATGATGTCAGAGGGCTTCAAGGCTTCAATTGCAAGTCTTGGTGGTATTTCCTCAACACAAGAACCGAGGCGTGTTCTTTGTTTTGGCAGCTGCGTGCGTGCGCTCTGGGATGTACGGAGCACTTGCGCAGGCTTGCATTGCGGTCACCGGAATTTGCCTCAGTATGGGCCTGCTGGGTGGATACATCGCTGAAGTGGGTCTCCAACGTGACATGTTCTATTCCGGACAAGATCTAGGCCGGGTCTTGACGTGGTTGTGTGGCCTCGTCATCACCTGCTGTGCAGAGTTTGATCGGATCATGGCATCAGATGCCGCTCTGCGCAGCAAATTCCTGCGGAAAGACTTTTCTGGTAGGCTGCTGGATGCCAAGTGCTCATCTGACTCCGACAGAGAGAATATTTTGCAGGAACTGTCACAAAGCGGAAAGGCGAAGGAGGTGGAACGCGCTGTAAAGTTTCTGCTGCAGATGAACCTCATGACGCCAGAGCTGCAACGCACCACAGCTCTGACAGGGGAGCTTGGGGACGTTTCGTTCTTTAGCCGCTCATGGGTTGCTGTCGGTGTGATGCTTTGGGTCGCACTCCCCATACAGACGTTGACAACTCCTGGCATGATCCCCCTGCAACAAGTTCCTGCGGCTGCTATGTTGGTGCAGGGTAGCCTCTGGCTGGCCTTCTTCCCACGCCTCAGTACCGAACGAAAGGCTTTTGCCGCGGTCACAGTGAACATCTGGGTTGTGCTAGGCGCATGCATCCTTTTGGTTGCCGTGATCGTGGGTTTCGCTGACATCGACTGGTACCTCGTTCCAGGCGCTTTGATCGTGAGCCCTTTATGCTTGTCTTTGACGCTTGCCGGGCCGTCCCGCATCGCTAGAATCCCCGCAATAGGAGTCCCGGTGGTGCGAGTTTTTCTCGGTCAAAACCATTTTTGTCTACGACGAAGTCGTAAGAAGGAGCCAAAGAGCTCACCGGGTGAGGACGTCCAGGACGCGACCGTGACCATGGACGTCTGTTCAGAGGCGCCCACGCCTCGAAGATCCAGCTCTTTACAGTCGAAGGTCTAGGCCCTAGGCCCTAGGCCCTATACCAGTAGGCACCACTAGGTGGCAAAATGCCGCAAGGCTCATGTCGCCGACTTCTGCAGTTCATGTACAAAAAGAGGCTGAGTAGACACCAGAGCCAAAACTCTTGGGAGTCTCACAGCCTTGCCAGCCTTGCAAGATCCTGTAGGCCCCTTTCCGAAGGATTGCACGGAGTGAGACGTACAAGGTTGTGCATGCGGCTACCAGAACTCACACGGAACCACGGAGGGGGAACCTCTCCCATATTGCCTTCTGTGGGCCCTCAGGCCCAAACATCTTTCCCGGGACCCACAGTGTATCAACAGACACCGAGTAGCCAAGGAGCATGTCATGAAATGGCATGTTATATATATATATATATATGTATATTTTCGATTGTCATATGATTCGATTACTCTATTTCTGTATTATCGTACGATACGCAATCGCTGGTTCTCCCATGCACGTCTGACTAGCACTAAGCTCAGCTGTCCAGTGACTCAACGAGCTGTCATGTACTCGCCCCAGCTCAAAGCTGAAGCATGCAAGAGGGCTTCTATGCTGCAATCTATGAAGACAGTCTGAACCTGGTTCCACCTTAAAATTTTGCCATCATCTTCGCTTTCAGGTTTTCGTAGATTCGCGACGCGGAACCTGTGACGACACGGACTTGGAGGTGGACATGAAACCGATTTCTTGCAAGTTTGGCACCTCTGCGTGGCAACACTTGTTGTTCGCCTGTGCCACAGGCCAGTGAGGTGCTGGAGCGTGCCTGGGCGAGCAGACCAAGTGGCTGGTTTCAGGGCAGCCAGCACCACTCGGAGACGATGACGCGTGCTACGAACAAGATCGACGTGGCGGGTGCTCCAGGGGCTCGGTGGCCCGTCCCTGACCAGGCCTCACCTTTTTTTCGTGACTACTATAGGCCACTTCTCGTACATGTAACGAGATCTGTCAGGATGCCTCAGAGATGCCACCAGCACCCAGGATGGGCCGCACTCCGAACAAGACCCTTGCCTTACTTTCCAGGGTTCAGCGAAGTTCATCATCAGGACTTGGTCGTTGCGGGAGGATGCTAGCATCCAGCCAAGGATGAGTCCTTTGTGCGATGATCCGGGCGAAGAGGCTTGTCAGCTGCAGAGCAGGTTGCTTGTGATCTCATGACTGAAGCCAGGTTTCGGAGGAAGGACTGTATCTTGACGGGCAGGACTCTTGGGTTGAGGGCTGTGTATGCCTGTGCAGTCGGCTCGCTCGGTGTTGGCTTCATGCTGCATCAAGTAGCCAAGATCGGATTGTGTTTCTTGAGTCCTTTGTGGCTGTGTCAGGACTTCGGCATGCAGACTCGCCAACTCGCACAGTTTCAGATGTTCGCTCAACCTTATGCCCTTCAGGGGTGGGAGAACACTATGCACTATTTCAGTCAGAGCTTTGGTCGCACTGAGGCCTGTCAGTCCTGTCAGTCCTGTCCGACATCAAGCAACATGAATACTGTAAGGTTCGCCGGCTCCGGCGACCATGTGAACGGCCCTTTGCTCACAGCTGGTGAGGTGTGGCCACGTGGATTTGCTGCCGGAGTTGCTTGTGCTGCCTCCGTGTTCATGTCATCATCTTCCTTGCTTCAGTGCATGCAAGGCAATGGAGAGCACAGGTCCGGCACAAAAGTCACTTTGCTGCAGTGAAAAGTGGAGGTTGGGGGAGGTAGGTGCATGAGAGAGCAAGCCAAGGATCCGCGGGCAGTTCCACAAGACCAAAATGTGCATCTTCCACAACAAGACACTCGGAGGCACAGGGTGCCTGTAGCCTCATGTCTTATCAGACTTCCCCCCCCCGTTTCCGAGGAAGAAGTGTATCATGGGTCTGGCGTGCCCCTATGCCCACTCCATTGACGAGCTGAAGGCTGCCCCCGACCTTTCGAAGACCAAGCTTTGTGCGTCTCGGCTGTGGACGATACGGCGCCAGGCTAAATTACTTGTGCTTCTGATTCCTCCAAAGGTCAACTTCTTCAAGAAGAAGTGCTAGCCCGAGCCTCCTCAGCTGGCACAGATGAAGCCGAAGCCAGAGAAACAGCATGGGAAACACTCAAAGGTGCAACGATGCCAGTTGCAAGTTTGCGCACGGGCGCCTGAGCTGCAGCTGTGACCATTCGAGGCACCCGGCAGTGGACATTTGACAGCGCAAACTTTCAGGCACGCCGACCTGCGGGCAACGGATGCAGTGTACAAGATGGAGCTCTGCCACACGTGGTTACGCGGCACGTGCAAGGCAGTGTGGCCACCTTGGTAAGTTACATTATGCAAGAAGGCGTGCGCCAACTTGATTCAACCGACGGAATCAGGACCACCGACTTGCACGTGAACTCTGGTCACGCGACATCATACTACATCATACCTGTCAAGCTAATGAAGAGCCAGCTGGCACCAGCTGTGTCAGGAGCCACGTGTTGTAAACAGCCATGTATCATGTGATGGCCTGCGGCAGGCAGGGCATGCCTCCCGCTATGCGCACGGCGAAGAAGAGCTGCGAGGAAATGACAGCACCGTGCCGGACATGACTGGCGGTGCGGAGAGCTTCGCGTATTTCGCGTGCTTAGACATGCCGCCAGTAAGAGTTGTGGCCGATAGTTTTGTTAAACAGACTTAGAAGCTACATCATCAAACGATGGCACGATCTTTTCAACGCGGCCAGAGAGTCAAGATGAGTCAAGGCCAGCGGGCTACACGAGCAGCGCCTGGGAAAAGGACTGCCAGGACTGCGGCACTGTCAACACACTTCAGGCTTTCATGCTCCGGTAATCTTCAGTGAGTGTATCTTTACGAGTCGAGCACCTCCAGCCAGCGAACGCCATCGTATCTTGAGTCCTAGACAATGCAAAGCAGAGAGGAGAGAGGGCCCAAATAGAATTCGAAGAGCGCAGGACCAGCTGGACCCAGAGCCGGAGCCGATCGCCACCGCGGAGATGCCGGAGCCTCCTCGCTGCCGGCGCTGGGGACGCGCCAAGGCTAAGGCGGCCGAGGCCCAGGCGGAAGAGGACCAGGCGGCCGAGGCCCAGGCCGAGGTCATTCCCGAGGTCCTCCTGAACACCGGAGTCGCTTGCGTCGAAGCTCTTCGAGCGCCCGTGGACCCGGGCCAATGGAGCACCGAGGATGTGGTGCAGTGGCTCACGGAAGCGGAGAGCGGCAAATTTCAACGGCCCGGGCCCTACACCTGCAGTGTGCCTCGCACTGTCTTTGAGTTGGAGGGTCATTCGAGCAATGTGCAAGCAGCCAGCAGGTCTGTAAAAGAAGCCATGTGAAGCCATCTTGCATGCAAAATGTACATGAAATGTAGCGTAACATGCAGATTTTGTTTACGGTTTAACAATGTCCATGCTCGAAAGCGCAATCAAGAGTACATGGTTGCGGTTAGCTGGTAGCAACCTCATAATAGTTCGCAACATGCTTGGACTGCCTCGAGGCAGCACTCTGAAGCGGAAGTACGTGTCATGTTTGTCCGTTTCTTTCCCCATGCCCCTCCCCTTTCCCATCCTGCATTGAGTGCAGGATGCCTATCAGAGCCTATCAACAATGGCCGAGTGCGGTGCAGGAGGCCTATCATAGTCTTGGAGAATTGCCTGGTCGATCCAAGGTACATCCAAGTGTTCCGTGAGAAGGGCATCGACGGGCGCCTTGGCGCGAAGCCAGGGCGATTGGTTTCGCATGGCTGCATGACGAAGGAGTCGGGGAGTGCTGAACATGAAGACCTCGTGGCCAACACGAAACTCCGAGGCAAGCTCTGCGCAGTCTGACATCTGCACGGCTGAAGGACCGTGCTACCAGTCAACCCTTGCAGGCATCTCTGATACTGTAATTCCAAGTAGGATGCATCCTGCAATTGACACTCCCTCCACACCAGTCGGGACAGTCTGAGTACGGGCTGCCCTAGGAGGAGCTCTGCATGACCGAGCTCGGCCCCAGAAAGGCCACACACTAGACTTATGATGCAGTAGGCATGACTCCACATGACTGCACATGACTCAGTATTATTGTTTCAAGAGCGAGAGAAGGGGGATGAGGGGTGTTGCCATCCACGACGCCACGCCTCACAACAGCTTTGAGCTGCTTCGCGAGGCCCTTGCCTTGGCCATTCAGAAGCTCTTCGCAGCCTGAGTCTGGCCGTACTGTAGTTCGAAGGGAAGGCCGGTAGCGACTTCTGACTCTTTCCCAGGCGCGTTGCCTCAGGCATCGCCTAGACAGGACTCTTGCAGGAGCTCCCGCTTGAGAGGAAGAAGGGCGCCAAAGTTCAAAGTGGTTCGACCCTGCGACAACCCTCCTTGGCATTGCATGACCAACCTTTTTGTGTACTCGACTCCTTGGGTGACCCAGGTGGAACAACCCAAGGTTGCACAAAAACCTGCACACGCACGCGCACACACGACACCGACGAGGAGTCTTTGGTGAGGATGTGTTGTTTAATGTTTTGTCTTGCAAACGCTGCCCGCAAATCGTCTACGAACTTGCTACAAGTACGCCAGTATACGGCACTGAAACGCTTTCCAATTCCCATGGCACGCTGATCGCCATGGGCGCGAGGACGCAACCTTTTCTGGCATAACCTATGCAGAAGAGCGAAGCGAGCCGTTAGATATGGCTGAAGAGATCGTTGGAAACCTGGCTCGCTCGCCCGCAGTCACCTCTCAACTCGTAGGTTCGCGCAGCTGTCCTTGTTTCCGTACGTTTGTGCAGCACTGGAATCTTCAACTGCCCCCTCTGCCTCTGCTCGGCGCCATGATGCCCAGCGACATCGAGTCACGATCTGCGCCTGCCATATGGAGAGCTTAGCAACTTCTTTGGAGACGCACCTCATCTCGAACATGTGTGGACGCCCTACGATTCACCCTGCCTCCCTTTGCTCGGCGGGATGGACTGGGGTTTCAGGGAAGTCTGAAGAGACAGACTCGAATCAGCAACTTCTCATTCTCAGTAGAGCCCCACCGATGTCAGATTGTGATTGCCCCGCGTTGTTCGTAAAAGCCCTTTGCACGATTGCCTCCTTCCTCTCACAGGCCACTGCAAAGAGAAACAACTGTGGTCGTTTCGACATGACTCGGACCACTACAGTACATGGACCCACGTTGTTCTTTTGTACGGGTTTTGTCCTCGCACCGCTCTTTGACCGAATGCGTTGATTTTCCGTGGAGCTGCATGGTCTGCATGCGCCGCGCACTCAAGAATGACCTATATAATCTATGCCCGGCTCAAGCTCGTGTTCTCGCGAAGCAAGACGCGGGCGCCCCTGATTGCATGGGATTTGTTTTCTTTTGAGAAAAGTAGTCGGCAGAAGCATGACGCCTTCAATGCCGCGCGGGCGTCTTCCGGACCTCGGCCCTTCGACCTCCCGCTCGTCTTCGCAGTCGTCGGGATGGTTTGATGCCTTAACAGGTGAAGTCATTGACCAGTTGCAAGAGCTAGAAGAGCCAGAGCCTGGACGGGTAGCTAACACCCCTGCAGCCGGACCTGTAGTTGTCACTGCTGTCGCTCCTGTGACGGTGGTACCGTGGACCTTCCAAAAGGCGGATCTGCGCTACCCGCCTCCCCCTCCTCCGAACCCTCCTGTCTTCACGGACAAGATGGACAACGCAAAGGTGAGCATTGAACACAGGAACGGCACGTGTGATCCTTGTGTCTTGTTCAACTCGTCGAGGGGCTGCGCCAAAGGCAATGCTTGCCGGTTCTGCCATCTAGGCAACCATGCCACCGGTGAGAGGACAAAAGCCATCCAACGACCGAGGAAGCAGGCTCGCGACAAGTACAAGTCTGTGGTACAGAAGCTCCTTGCACAGATGGAGTTGAATCCTCAGGCAGACCAGGCCCACGAAGAGCTCCAGACCGAAGCCCGCAAGAGCCCCTATGTCTGGAAGCTCCTCCAAGGCTACTTGGATGGGATCGACAGCATCGACAACATCGACCTCGACCCGCCTCCATTCGGCATGATGCCCTACCAGCACATGCCAGTCCAAGCAGTCTCAACACCCTTTCCTGCACCGATGCACCAGTCGTTTGTGCATCCTTTGGGGCCACCGCCTCATTTGGCGATTCCAAGGCCCCTCTACTCGAGGTGAGAGTATGATTCAGACTCCAGAATCCGGACTCGCGGATGATTTGGTGGTACTTGGTGGAGGCCCCGAGCGGTCCAAATGGGCCGAAAGAGTCGTCGCCGATGAGACATCGATGAGACCGGCTGAGGCGCTTGTCAGCGACAGCGCCGGGGCAGGTGCGAGCTTTGGAGCCGAGTCGAACAGAGCTTCAAGTCTTTAATTCTTTGGCCCAGGCAGAGTCCAGGCCTCCTCTATTCTCCAAGCTTCGGGGGGAGCCATGCTGCCTTTGTGTCGTGGGAATGCAAAATGCAAATGTTGATGTATCACAAGACACGAGTGTAGTTTGTGTTGCTGTGTGCTTCGAGGCTCGAAGGCGGGTTGCTTGGTTCCTGTGTGTTGCTGTTACTGTTGGCACACACCCTCTGCCCAGTAATGTAGACCGTTTCTGGTTGCTTTCAACCAGAAACAGTCGAGCACCCCGAAGGCAGCGACGAGATGAGCTTCTGGGCAGGGGTGGATTTGAAGAACAGTATGACTCATACCACATGCAAGGGTTCCGTGTACAGAATCCTGCAGATTGTCGTTGTCTCACAGGCACCGTTCCCGCTAAACTCCTTGGAACCTTGAAACAGGCCTGCTATGTTCTGTCAATTGTGCGATGCAGGTACGTACACTTCGTCTTTTGGGAACTGTAACACGGCTGCTGTACACTACGCTGTCGGCGTGCGCTAACAGGGCGGCATGCACAGAAATGCTCCGCGCCCTTTCTGCTGCGCAGTCTAGGGAAGTGACCCGACATACTTTCAACAGTCACAACCTTTTTTTCTAGGGTGCCAATGTGTTCTGCATGGAAAAAGAAGCTCGCATGCTGGAGCAGGCTCGTTGACTTGTCCGATCACTTCCGTTAAAGCACTAGGAGCAGCCGTAGCCGTAGCAGTCGGAGTGGCAGTCGGAGTCGCAGTAGTCAGACGCAGTAGCCAGAAATAGCATGTGTAGTAGCAGTAGAACTGCATGGGTTCCTCTGGCTGGACGTGACGTGTAAAAACAGGAGTCCCCCCCCACCCCCCCCCACCCCAAGCATGCTGACCGTCCGGATGGCAGCGTCAGGTTCCGTGGGGTGGGTAGGTAGATTCATGTCTAATTATGTATATATATATATATGTATGTATGTACATATATGTACATATATATATATGGGGGGCGAGCATATATATATATATATATATACATATGTATATATGTTTATATATATATATATATATATATATGCACATACGCACGCAAGATTATACATCTTTGCCTTTTGCCAGCTGCGTTTCTGTTCTGGGAGGTGAGCTGCTTCTGGAAGCACAGTCGGATGAACGACAAGGCCAAGCAATACAGCTCTTGAGGTGTGAAGGGCAGCCTGGCGTTTGCACAGCCATGGATTCTTCAGGGGCCACCTGAACCCCAAGTTGAGAGGGGCAATCCAATCCTCCAAGTCTTAAAGCTCTGGGAGGCGAGTGGAGGCAAGGAAAAAATCTGACAATCCAAGAAACTTTCAACCTCAAGTCCCTAAGAGAGCTGGCCACTTCCGCGGCGTTCCCAAACGCGAAGCGTCCCATTTTCACGTGCTGCAATGACAAGCCCCCGGCTTATGATCCCTGCAGGAGGCCGGGGATGGCTCACACATCCTTGAGGGCATGCAAAGCGTCACCGATTCTAGATCATTGTGACTTCAGCCTATAGGCCCACTTCAGCCACGCCATGGTGCACGTTTTTGACCATTAGTTCGAGCGCGCGCGCAAATTGAGCGTGATAGATGGGCGGCCCCAGCTCGCCAGTGTATGTCGAAGAACGGCCTGGACTGCTATTGATAGCGACCAGAGCTGAGAAATCAAGAGCTGTGCTTCATGAAGCGCATGGGATTTGTCATGTGAGCCTTCGTTCTCTGGCCTTGTCCTCTTCAAAGTTTTTCGAGTCTTTGTGTGCAGGCGGGCTGGCCATCTGGAGCCTGAAGAAGCGGCTGCAAGGCCTTAGTTTGGGAAGGGTCGACCAGTTGACCCGATTATACAGCCTACGGGCCTAGACGCCCAAGGCCTGAAAACGTCTGGGTTGTATCAAGCCAGTGAAATCCTAACCCTATAAGACTCCTGCCTCAAGGGCTCTCTAGTGGTTCGATGCAGTTTGCCAGCTGTTGATCCTACAGATTGCCTTGCTCAAGGTGTTTGTGGTCAGCCTTGCTTTCGGCACCGGCTCCTCAATCAAGAAGGCCGTGTTCTCGACGATGCTGAGAAGTTCCGCGGCAGGACACGGAAAGGCTTTGCAAGACTTTGCACAACATGACAGAAGACGACAGAGAATGGCCACTGCGGCGGGATTGAGAGATGACTTTACCGTAAACCTCTATAGACTCCGGATCGCGGTATGTGGTGAGCCGTGATTCCACTTAGTCGAGTGTAGCCGCCTTAGAGAAGGCAGCCACTTGTGACAACGTGCACGGCAACGTCGGAACGCTAAGGTTGGAGGGGCCAGCAGACTTGCAGCTGATCGTTATGCCCACAACTTCCTCTCCGGAACAAGCGGCCCCATGGTCAAAAAAGCTATATGGACCAAAAGGGACTCGATTCCTCGATCCTTCCAAAAGTCCCAATCGCTCTTAGTCTTATAACTGATTCTTAAGGAAGGTTTGTGTTCCCACAGGTACATGTGACGTCACTTGTGCTGTCTGTTTTTACGGTCGGCTGGGCCGCGAGATGTTGTGCAGGGTTTCCCGGTCTTTGGGGTCCTTTTGGTCCAAGGCGCAGTTCCTTGACGCCTGCCAGCACGGTGACGCGCAGCAGGTGGAGGGTTTCCTGCGCCAGTCTCAGGACCCCAACGTTTGGGACCCGCTTGGGCGTCACACGGTCCTCTACCAAGCTGCATGGAACGGCCACAAGGACATTGTGAGATTGCTCCTGGAAGCTGAGGCAAGTGTGCACACTGAGCAGAGAGAGTATTGGGATTTGCTTGCTGTGGCTTGCAGTCGAAACCACCTGGGCATCGCTCGGCTGTTGCTGGAAGCCAGAGCTGCCATTTCTGGTGCACTGCCGGCGGCTTGCTCCGAAGGCCATATAGAGTGCATCTCTTGGCTGCTCGACGCGCGAGCCGACGTTGAGCAATGCACTTGGAACAGACCCGCGACGTCCTTGCAGGCAGCATCAGACAAGGGTGATGTAGAAGTGGTTGGCATACTCCTTCAGGCAGGTGCGGATGTGGATGCGGCTCCTAACCAGGGCGATGTCCCACTGGCACTCGCTGCCCAGTCTGGTCACCTGGTGCTTGTACAGCTGCTGCTGGATTGGGGTGCTTCTGTGGACAAGCTCGTGGTCGACAGTCCAGATTTCGATACTGGAATCGACGACAGGCGGCCCAGTGAGCCCATCTTCTACGCGCCAGCTCTCTTCTGGGCATGTGCTGGCGGCCACCTTCAGATAGCCCGCCTTTTGCTAGAGGCCCGTGCAGATGTCAACAAGCCGAACAACCATGGCGAGACTCCCTTGTACGTAGCCATCTCGGGTGGCCTCTTGAGCAAGTCCACCGAGCTTTATCTCTATTTAAAGAAGCTCCACACGGGTCGTTTGGACATGGTGGCGCTATTGCTGGAGTCTGCAGCGGACGTGGAGAGGGGGAACATCGAGGGCGACACGCCCCTCTGTACAGCGTCCCGAGGAGGTCTCGTGGATATGGTGCAGCTCTTGCTGGAGGCAAGGGCTGAAGTGGACCGTGCAGATGCAGCAGGCGCGACTCCCCTCCGTGCGATTTGGGATGGAAGCGCCCAGTTCACGTACGCAAAGGATGAGAAGGCCTGCCGGCGCCTGGAGATAGCACGCCTGTTGCTTGAGGCCCGGGCAGACGTGGAGAAGGCGCATGGTCAGGGCATGGCTCCTTGGCAGGTTGCCACGGAACACTCAGTGGTGGTTGGGCTGCTTGCACAGGTTAGCAACTGCTCAAGCTCCAAAAGCGGACATTGGGGAGCCCTTGGGAGCCCACAGCAAGACGCGACGGCCATGCCCAGCTTGCCATCCAAGCACCTTGCAAGAGCATGAGAGCACGCAGCATATGTGTGCACTTGTTGAAGTCGGAAGACGGAGTCCGGAGTACGAACTGCTTTGACAAGAATCCGCACGTCCAGCATGTGCTTTGCATGCGCAGCAAACCAATCCAAAGTCCAATTGCGTGCGCCACAGTGCCCGAAATGACTCAGCAAACCAAGCAGCCACATCGTTTCGCTCGCCCAAGGCAGGTGTGGGAACTCGGCCCGCCATCGGTCCCCGTCGTCTCGGTGGCACCTTTGAAGGACTACTGCTCTTTGCAGGCTCGGCCACACAACATGCCATGCGTGCCCTTTAATTTCCTTAACTTCCATTTTGATAGCCAGGAACAGGCAGAAAGCTGGCTGCGAGGAGTCGGGGGAGCGAGCGTAAGCGATATCGCCAACTTCTACATCAACCCGGGCCTGGGCTGCTTGCATTCAAGCGGCTCAAGCCGAAGGGCTACACTAAAAGGTTCAGGCATCCACGACGTGTGTTTTGGGTTTGTTCTTGTTGCCAAAAATTGACGATAAGGTGATCCTTCTTGCCCAGCAGCCCAGAAGTATGAGAAGGGCTTGGCCACTCTACGCTGCACCCACGTGACCCAGTGTGCCTTGACGCATTGTGCAGCCTTCCCTTATAAACTTTGAACAAACCCTGGTCAACATAATCAGTACGGTAGCGGCAGTGGGGGTTGGCAAAAACAAATAGTTCCCCGAATACATTGTTATCGTATATACAGTTATATGCACATACATTAGGAATTGAACACATGTTGGATTCGCATTTGTATTATACGTATTCATGATCAGGGTTACCAGTGACTAGCAAACCAGAAACCTCCCACAAATCCATGTGCTTCATGAGAGGCGGGTGGGAACCTTTGTAAATGTGATCCATGCGCTCTTGGGCTGCATCAACTGCAAACACAAGCATGCACACACACTCAAACACACACGCACACGCACGCGCGCACTCGCACGCGCACGTGCACACCCACAGAGACACACACACAGACACAAAAAGACACACAGAGGCACAGAGAGACACGCAGAGGCACACAGAGACACGCAGAGACACACAGAGACACAGCGACACACAGAGACACGCAGAGAGACACGGAGAGACACGGAGAGACACAGAGAGACACCGATAAACACACAAGAACACACACACAGACACACCCGCACAGAGATATGCAAAAAAAATATATGCATGTAATAGCTATAGGGGAGTTCCTGCAGTTTGAAGGTGAGTTCGCTTTCCGTAGCGCGAGAAATCGCAGCGAAGTGCGCAGCATGTGCTGGGAGAATTTGGACCCTTCACGCCGGGCCTGGCAATGGCAGGCAAGGCCCGAATGTCCACGCAGTGCTCTGCTACTTTGTGCACTGTGTGTAAGGCCAGCATGCTAGCAGCCGTTGTTAATGAAAACAGTCATAGAGTTGCATCCATTTTCACGATCATTTTGTCCTCATAACTCAGTAGCCCCATGAGGCGCCAAGACGTCTAAGCTTCTGCCCATTTCCACGCCCTGCCAGTCCTATGGACCGGGCGAGTACTTCAGCATCCAGCCGACCCCTCTGAAAGATGAGCCCTGGGGCAATGTGCGGCAAGATTCCCCGTCCCTTAGCCGCCTTGCATTGAAGGGGGGAAGTAGTCAAGAGGGGCGTCCTAGGATACAGGGAAGCTGGAGACTTCATGCTCCTGGCCCTCCACGACTTGCGTCCCTGTGTAGGTATCTCGTCGTCTTTCTGCTCCTCAGAGGTAGCGACAACACAACGCACTGTGGCGGACTTGTCAGAGCAACTCGGTCTCACTCCGGTCACAAGCAAAATCCCTTTGGCCTTTGGGGAAGCCCGGTATTGATCCAAAGACAGTACGAGGTTTCGGAGCACCATATCCACATTCCAGCCTTGCATGCCGCACTTCTCTTGCACTTGAATGGGCTCATAGACGTTAAAAATGGTTTGTGGGGGGTTTGCTGATGTTACTCGCCCAATTCAGATGTTTCCTTTCCGCTGTTTTGGAAAAACCTCCATGCAGGTGGTTGACAGTCCAGCACACGGCCGCATGATGTACTGTGTGCCCCTCGGCGTGCTAGACTACAACGGCGGCGGTGATCCAGAGTTACGGGGGAGCTGCAGGAAATCGATGCAACGTCTCCAAGCCCATACGATGTAGAGGTCTTAGATTTAGCCCGTGGTGCGGCCACAGCAGCTGCACATTTTCGGGCCTTTGTACAGTGCATGCCAGAAGCCCTAGGCCCTAAACTCTCTTCATCCCTGAAGCTGCATAAGTTGCGATGACGATGATGCTCTTGGTCTTAGCTTTCCTTGCAGGAATTAGACTGAAGGACCCTTTGCTTGGCAAGACTCTTGCCAGACCGAGCAGGCGTGGTCAAAAATGGTCGTGGGCTTTGCTCCTCTGGCCGAACTGCTTCCTGTCATTTCCTGGTGGCAAAGAGCCTTGGTAACTTGTCTTGTGCTGAGGTTTCTTAGTCTTAGCTTGCTGCAATGGGATCCTGTGATTCCTGCTGTACTGCACAGTAATCTGCTGATTATTCGTCAGAACATTTGAAAGCTGTTCTTTGACAAAGCCTGCTGCCAGCCGTTTCCTTTGCCGGTCAGTGCCTTTTCCAGCCTGCCGCCCTTCGGCCATGCTGACCATCCGGATGGCCACAACAGGCTCCTACGTGTCTGCCCGCGATGCTATGTAGTGCCACCAAAAACGTCACGAAGACGAAATTGAAAAAAAGTGCGGCGGTATCAAGATGATCCGTGCGTACAAGCATCTGGAAGACATTATTTGACTCGATTGTGTGTGTCAGCACCGTGTGTTAGCAGCACATGGAACCCTTTGCATGAGGCTTCTCTGCTCACAAGATGTGGGAGTTCATATCCAGGTGAGGCGCTACTGACACTCTCCCGCATGGAGCTGGCTGACCTGGAAGGCAGGGCCTGTGACGCGCATGACGTGGTAAGAAGTAGGAATGGGCGTGTCCAAGCTGCACGATCGGCATCGGCGGCTTAGCGCAAGTAGCGCAAGACTCTATGTAGCACATAGAGTGGCAGGAGCTTGATGCTTCAGAGACCCGTGGTCAGTCAGAGTCTCTGCGTGGCTTTGGGATCCTGACTACCTGTGAGCTCCAAAAAGGCTTGTTTAGAAAGCTACGGCGATGACACAAATGTTGACATGAAGTTGGAGCGTACACGTTTCGTGGCCCCAACCATATAGTGTGATCAATCCATGCACGGTCTAGCAGTCAGCAAGCCCTGTAGAGGCCCTCAGCCCATCATCGCCTTGAAGCGCCGCCTGCAAGGTCAAGGGGTCTTTATCTGATCAGTCGCACTTGTTGCCGGTTGAGCCTTTTGGGATTCTAGGAGTGTTCTAGGGGATTGATCACGGATGCTGGGTTCTGACCAGGCTAGCATTGCTTTCTGCTCGCTCTCCCTGCCCATGGCTGCTCGCATATGCTCGCTGGAGCAAAGTGACATGCTGGCAGGCCGATGTGGCCCGACCCGGTTTCGACAGCGGCTCCTCAGTGAGGATGGGCACATTCTGGGGGACGATACCAGGTGGGCGCTTGAGCACAATCAGCTTCGAGACTCCTGTGCCAAATTGGGTTCCATGCTTGTCCCTGCTTGCGCAAATCGCACGTCTGATTTACCGTTGACCGCTTTTTAACATACAGAACCTGTTGTGCATAGATCCTGAATTTCTTAACAAGACTTCCTGTGACCAGGTTGGAACTCTTGGAGAAGCTTACCGAGCTCCTGCTTGTGCTGACGAATTTCGAGAACACCACAAATGAGCAAGTTGCATCTGGTCAGAATCTGCGAGTTTGAGTGCAAGAGATGGGCCCAAGAGTTTGGGGTCACTTCACAAGCTCTACCATCAGTTGAGGGCAGGGCTGGCCGAGAGTTGGCCACAGCCTTCACGGGATCTAGAGTGCTTTGGAACGCCATGCAGACGGCATGGAGATCGTTAGGCAGCCGCATGACTCAAGGCTTTCCTTTGGGGATGTCCTTCAGTCCCGCGGTGTGGTTCCATGATAATATCGGCCAACCGCCGGCATGCACTACTGTTGTGTCTTTGAATAGTGTGAAGATGTCCTGCTAGATGAACGCCACTTGAGTAGTTCAAGTTTAATTGTAAACGCTTGCGTGCACCGCCTCGGCAGCCGGGCCGGCCCAGAGCATGCAGTAAGTGGGGATGACGGCAAGATTCCGCACTAAGGGGGGAGGTCCACAGGGAGGGGGGGGGGGGTGCGTCACAAAATTCTGCATGGGGGGAAGGGCTAGGGGGAAGGAGACCGGATCCGGGTCTGCTTGTTCCAAACGCTTCTCGGCAGGAAGCCGAGGCGAATGGATATTTTCGTCTCAGTCTTTATGCTATCCTTACAAAGCCGAACGGGAAATTCAACTCATACAGCTAAGACTTGCCCATACTTTAGCTAGAACGGCCTCCGACCCATTTTCAGATGTCTAGGAAGCAAATGAGAGAGAGATCCGGACTGGCTCGCCCTCCGCTCCCCCCGAGAGAGAGAGAGAGAGAGAGAGAGAGGAAGCGAGAGAGAGAGAGAGAGGAAGCGACAGGAAGCGATAGGAAGCGATAGGAAGCGACAGGAGGAAGCGACAGGAAACGAGAGAGAGAGAGAGAGAGAGAGAGAGAGGAAGAGAGAGAGGAGCCCCGAAAACCGCGGCGCTCCCAATCAGACGGACTGTCGGACTTCGCGCGCCCCTTGGGGCAGCCTTCCCTTCGGGGGGGGGGGGGGGGGCTACGCGTGCAGGCGAGAGAGAGAGAGAGAGAGAGAGAGAGAGAGAGAAAGAGAGAGAGAGGGGCTCCTCTCGCGGGGGGTCCTCTTCGCTGGGTAGAAGAAGAGAAAGAGAGAGATGACATTCGGGAGCAGCCCCGATCCCCCGTGAAGAAGAGGAAGAGATGGCCTTGATAGGGTCCGGTTTCATCAGCTGTCATAGCTTGGCTTAGTTCGAGTGTCCAAGGCAGCGCTCGCGGACGCCTGCGGCGCGGGCGACTTGAAAGTGATCGAGGGCATGCTGCAGCGACCGCAAGATCCCAACCTGGGGGACGCAGGTGTGAACCTGGAAGATGGCGGTGCCCTCCCCCTCCACGCTGCCGCCAACAGCGGAAGGGTTGAAGCCGTCACCTTGCTGCTGGAGGCTAATGCTGATCCAGACAGCCAAGATGAGTACTTGCAGACTCCTCTGCACCTGGCCGCCATGGAAGGTCATGCCCAGGTGGCATTCCGATTACTGAAGGCCAATGCCAACCCGGATGCTCAGGCTTTGGCACATGATTCTACCGGTCTGACCCCACTCGAAGCGGCATCCTCCGGAGACCATGTGGAGGTTGCCCAGTTCTTGCTTGAAGCTCGCGCAGATCCGAACCGGTTCTCCAAAGCGCATCAAACCCCGCTTCATCGTGCTCGGAGTTTGGAGATGATCCGCCTTTTGCTGGGGGCTGCTGCTGATGTGAACTTGGGCCAAAGCAAAGACGGCAAAGACTGCCACACTGCACTTGATGCGGCAGCCGAAGAAGGTCCCTTCGCGAGGGCTCAGCTCCTCCTGGACTTCGCCTCCGAACAAACGAAATCTCGAGCATTGCAATCCGCAAGCCGCAGTGGACGCGCGGATGTGGTGCAGCTCTTGCTTCTGGCTGGCGCCCACAAGTTTCCGGCGCATCGCAGTCACTCTCCGCCTCTGGCGTCAGCTGCCAAAAGGGGATTCTTGGACGTGGCACGCCTTTTGCTGGATGCCGGGGTCGATGTGGACGAGGCAACGGTCCGCAACGAAACTCCACTTCTGAGGGCTTGTGAACAAGGAAACCTGTCAATGGTGCGGCTGTTGCTGGAGTCCCGGGCTGATACAGGCAAGCTCGACGATCGGGGGCGGACGCCCCTCTGCGTGGCAGCCAAAGGCTTCCTTTTGCTGCCGAGACGTGCAGGCATTGAAATCATAGGCCTCTTGCTCCAAGCTGGTGCCAGCGCGGAGAAGGCTACGGACCTTCTGGTGGCCGCATGCGCCAAAGGCCACGTGGAGCTGGTAAGCCAATTGCTGGAAGCCGGTGCTGACATAAACAGTGCCTGGTGCCATTGTGGCAATGTTCGGTATCCTTGCCTGCAACAACACAGTCACTGTGGCTGGACACCCCTCGGTGCAGCTGCTTCAGCAGGACATGCCAATGCTGTGGCGGTGCTACTGCAGGCAGGCGCGGACCCGGACCTCCAGAGCCAATGCCAGCACTCGGGCACCCACACACCCCTTGATCGCGCAGCTGCCCGCGGACACGTGGAGGTGGCCCGTCTGTTGTTGGAGGCTGGTGCAAAGGTCAGAGCCACCGGGCCTCACTCGCCACTGGCGATAGCATCCTGGTTCGGACACCTCGACGTCATGCGGCTGCTGCTGGCGGTCGCTGACCATGCGGACAAGACAGCCGCCCTGGTGACAGCATGTTTGGAAGGTCATGCAGCGCAGGTGGATATCTTCTTGCAGGCTGGAGTGGACGAGGGCCAAGCGCTGAAGGCGGTGACGGAGAACAACCGCGTGAAGGCTCTGGGACTGATGCAGTCTCACCCCGGAAGTGATCCGAGTTTCAGGTCACGGTTCGAGTTCTGACTCCCCAAGTTGACGGCAAGACTCTTAGCAAGCCCATATATGCCATTAGTTCTCAAAAGAGCAATGTGGCACTGCACTGCAGGAAGGGTCGCGCAGCGGATCCCTTTGTACATGATGTACGAGTCTGCCAGATGTATGAGTCTGCCATTGTCATTCCATGCCACGGTGAATCTGACCTGTGCGCTGCATGTCTGCCGCTGAATGCACTGCAGCTTCGAAACCTCACGCCCAAGTCATTCCTCCAGCTGACCCCAAGCTTTGCGCAATGTTGCCTACCCAGTGCCTCGTGATGACCTCCGGCAGTCATGTCGTTCCGGCGCGTGCCGAATACGCAGGGGGTCCGCTGAACAGCAGCGTGCGCGACAACGCTGCGTGCAGCCCTCAGATTCGACCTTCGGTGCTGCAGGGTATGTGACTGGCACAAGGTGCAAGTGCTCAAACCTTCAGTGCAACCCTTTTTAGCCGCTGTTAGAGCATGTTAGAGCCATTTGCCTCAGGCTTGACAAGCTGTCCATCAAGCTCTTCTTTCCAAGCTTGGACACAGACCGACCGGTGGCAGAGCTTCCCGGCTACAAGGGGATCTTTGTTTTCAGCCCGGATCTGGCAGATGGGCTCCTTTTCCTGGTGCTGACACAAACTCCTGAAGCCCGGAAGATGTTTGGCGTGGAAATGAACGAGGCGGCTTTTGGAATGGTGTCCAAGCAGCAGCGCAGGGACAGGAAGATCACTTTCATCAGTGGCTCAGTGCTCATCATGCGGAACAAAGCTTCTGGACGCGGGCTTGGTCTCAGCATCGAGGACTTCAAGAAGTATACAAAGAACATCCCGGACCTTGATGTAACGTATGCTCGCCCTGCTCAGCCGTTCCGGCTAGTCGCAAGGCCAGCAGCCAAGCCACACGCGCAGCCTGGACCCGACGCCACTCCTCCCCGAGGCTGGGCGCGGGGTGAGGTGCCGAAGCTGCCGGAAGGATCTCGAACACCACAGGCTCTACAGGAGCGAGATGGCACATTGGATGTGCCCGCCGCGAGCACGGCACCCACGTCGAGTCGCAGCACAGAGGTCGGTGACGGCCCGCAGCCGCCGCAGCCAGAGGCGGGGGAGGCGGAGGAGTCGGAGGTCGAGGCGGAGCTGACTGCGAATTCTCCAGAGAAATGGACCGTCGAGGATGTGGCTAGATGGCTCAGACGGATCCACCCGTCCGGGAAATGGAGCCTGAGGCAAGGTTGTTACGACACATGTCATGGCACGAACAGTGCTGGGTTGCCTCGCTGCTGCCTCAGCAGCCTCAGCCAGGCACGTGGACAGCTTCCGGCAGAATCTGATCGATGGCAAGGCGTTGCAAACTCTCAAGAACGAGGAGCCTACGAATTCCACATCAGTTGAGGGTATCACATTGTATAAGGGGCTAAAGAACCGGTACCTCTGCAAGGATCTTCTGGAGCTAGGTGTACGGGAGCTGGGCCCTCGCAAGGCGGAAGAGAGTTTTTTGGGGGGGATGTTGCAGTAATGGTGTACTGGTGCGGCCTTGAAGTTGTCATGTGCCTCAGGTTATCCTGGCAGAGATCCAGCAGCTCTTCTCTCGGTAGCTCTGGCACTGCATGTAGCCTTCATGCCAATTCAAGCTCAATTTCGTCAGAGTGACTTGTCTAGCGTGTCGTTTTCGTGTCAGTGTATTGAGTTAGCTTTGTTCGAGCCCTCTGCCGGCGGAATAGATCGGCCAGGGTGACGTGTACAGGCGAGCAGGACTTTTCGCAGGTGCTCTCGACCAGAAGACAACCTCAGCACACAAGTAGCAACTTTGGCCATCTCCTTATCTGTGTTGAAATCCTTGGCACTCCGCCTTCTTTGGCTTCGGCTTGGAGGCACACGTGGGGTTCTGTTAAAATCAATCTGGAAAGAGTTTGGTGTAAACAAACATCGAAAACGCTCCTCCTCCTACGCTGCTGTTTCTGCTGCCGTGCTGACACTGCTGCCCACTACCTAGGCGGTAAGCAAAGAAGAGGGGCCACGGGCACCGCCCATTCGGCGTGAATACATGTGTGCACTTTGCCATGACCTCCCGTGCGAATCGCATTGCCACTCGCTGCAGCAACCTACATCGCACTGGACTCAAGGACGTGTCGTCGAAGTTCCTCTTTGCTGCGCTGGTATATTCCGTTACCCTTCGTCACGGACTGGGAATAGTGGCATACAACACAAGCTTAATTGTATCTTAATTGTCGAAAACGGGTTTGTGCAAGCAGAAGGATTTTGTTACAACCCCTCCCGTAAGATTCTCAGCAAAACATTAGGAATCAGGATTCTGATTCGGATCGGTGATGCCAGATCCTCCGAAGTCTGAGCTGGGGCTTTGGGTGCAGGCCTTGTACCCATTCATCTAGTTGCTCTTCACTTTTACGACAGATTTGCAGCAAGACCTGCATCCATGATGTCGCCTCCTGTGATGCTTGTACCTTGCGGTCTTTGGCCTGTGTGTCGCTTTTGTCTTGATGCATCAGAAGCGCAGTGCATTGTGGCTCAGAGCTTCAAAAGTGGCCACTACTGGTGGACGTGGACGAGGTGTGAAGATGAGCCAGGCGCTGGACACCTGAAAGAGTTTCTGCCAGTGGGGCTGTCATGGAGAGCACAGGGGCCCCCGAGTTAGGGTCTCAT